GGTTGTTACAGATGCCGTTGCATAAGTCAGTACCTCAATCGGACTCCATGTTATCTTTTAGGTTAGTCGGTTACCAGACCTCAGACCTCCCCGCCGTGCTAGCAACGCTGTTGGTGATTCGCGACTGCTAGTTCGCCAGACCGAAAGTCTGCTTATTCGGCAGGTCGTTGGACGATCCCCCACCCATGCTAACCTAACCGACTGATCCCATGTGTCCACGACTACTTTCTTCCCCCAAGTAGATGAAGGGTATATTTGTCTAGGCTTATTCGGCTGGTTTGTGCAAGCCTCCTTAACTACTACGTGGCAGACAACCATCCGAGTAAACTTGGAGTAATCGGTACGCATGACCTGATATGAAAAAAGTCCTTATAGAAACGTTTTTGGTTTTTCGTGCCGTACATAACAGTAAAAACGTAATTATTACATATGGACCTGTGTTAGAATTGGCAGGTTTCATTGCATACTTTTTTGGCTTTAAAGAAACAGTAGAAAACGTAGTATAAACTACATATAACTCTTATGTATTTAAACTTGTGAATTATTGGATGTTATGAATGTAACACGTAGTCAGATGACCAACATAACATTTTCTGCATAAAAATTGCATTGCTGGAAGGAAATTTAAAACGTACCTGTTCAAAATTTTTCTTTTCGATGAGGCTTTCTACGACGCTAGGGTCCTTTGTATCTAGTTCGGTGGATATGGCTCGACAAAGACAACGTCGAGCATCTGCCCGGAGTTTCTCGAGGGCAGCAGGTACCAGACGAAAACGAACCGGGATGTCGGCCCGGAATACACCAGCCTCCAACGCCTCCACATGACCACCCACATAGGTTTCCGAGTCAATTAGACGATTGTCGTCGGTGAAAGAGTAGCTATTGAGGGAGTCGCCAAGAATACCTTGGGGGGCATCGTGAGACGACGATCCACCTGACTTTTTATGTGGAAAAACTACATTAGCCTCATAGGCTTGAACCATTAAAAGAGCTTCACACAGAGTTCCAGAACCCTTTCGCAAGACGTCGTCCGGATTAAGAGGTAGGATGGTGCATAGGGCGAACACAAAAGGATGAACATATTTCATGTAGAGGTAGTAGGTGGCGACTGCATCAGAAACCGAATAATTAGCCAGAGTTCTTGGTTCCTCGCGAGCCATACGGCACATAAGTTCAGGATCCATTTCTACAGGATCGTAGTGTAGCTTCGCTTTGGCAACGGCTTTCAGACCCTGAGCTCCCACTGGCAGGTAGCTATCTCTCTTGACCCATCGAAAACAGTCCATGTGAACGGCGGGGCGAGAAAGATAATCGCCAGCGGATGGATCTCGACCCACACTTGGGCCACTTTGTTCTCGGTTGAAACCAATTTCGTCTGACATCTTCAAACCATATTGGGCTGCACGAGCCTCAAGAAACGGCCAATCGAAATTGTCTCCGTTGTAAGTAACAACAATAGTGGGTTTTACACGGAGAATATGGTCGAAAAATTGCCTGATTAGAGCTTCTTCATTGATCACATTATATACTCGGAAATGGCCGGGGAATTCTGGACGTGGAGTGAATTCAAAGTCTTCAACATCTTCAGCAATAATTTCTTGATTGCATATAAGGTAGCCCATCCCGTCAATCATATAGGAAATCATCATGATCTAAATGAAGATAACAAATAATTATATTGAATCATCTTTATGTACGCATGTTGCAGAAAAGTCAGATTGCTTAAAATAAAAAAGCAAATTTAAAAGGTCTGTTCAATGGATAGTTGTGCTTTGAAAGCTCGCAAGACACTTTCGCTCATGGAATGAGTCAGAAGTCCGAACTGATGCCGATATATGACCGTAGGATGTGAACAGGCAAATGAGACGAAGTATGCACATAATTTGACTGGTTTTTGTTTGTGTAGAAAGCACTCTTTACTGAGAAAGAGAAGATTAACTAAAAAGTATGATGGCAAAACTTCAACATGGTGATTGTCGAACTAAGAGTGCAGAAAAACGAAAAAAGCTACGGTGAAGGGATATAAACTGTGTAGAC